TTATTTATGTGTGTGTGTGTGTGTGTGTGTGTGTGTGTGTGTGTGGCCAGCTCAGCCCACCAGGGGGCGGGGCGGGCTGGCATGTGGTGCTGGGGGATTGAACCGCGGTCCCTTTGTTTTTTTTTTTTTTGCTAAGCTTGTTCTGAGTAGGTGCTTTAGACCACTGAGCCATCTCACCAGCCCTTGTTTTGAATTTTTGTTTTAATTTTTTCTCTTCAAAACAAAACAAAAGGGGCCGGGGAGATGGCTCAATAGGATAAGTGCTTGACTGGCAAACGCAAGGATCTGAGTTCAATCCCCGGTTCTGCAAAAACAAACAAAAAAAAAAAAAAAACAGGGGGCTGCATAGATAGCTCAGTGGCACAAGTGCCTGCCTGGCAAGTGTGAGGTCCTGAGTTCAATTCCCAGTACCACACACAAAAAAAAGAAATCAAATAATTTTTTTTAAAAATTACAATAACAGGGGTTGGGGAGATGGCTCAGTAGAGTAAGCGCTTGCCTGGCAAGCACAGGGTCCTCAGTTCAACCCCCAGTACTGCAAAATAAATAAATAAATAAATAAATAAATAAATAAATGTAAAATTTGTACTAGTAAAAAGAAAGAAGGGAGGTGTTCTTTTATTTTGCTTTTCCCTCTTTTACTAGGCCCAAACTCACTCTGCACAGTCTGTCTCTCTTCACTTTTACTTTTTCAAATAAAGTCTGCCACTGGGGAAGAAAAGGAATTCATTTGCCCACATCGATGCTTCTAGTAAAATCGTGCCTGGCCTATAGTTGGAAATCTACTTAAAACTCCAAATACTATATCCTCCCAATCAATCCATCTCACCTTTGTTAATAATTGAAATAATAGTGAAAATAGCGAATTTTATTATATCCTCAGTGCCGAGTACCCTTCTGAAGTCTACCTTTTATTAATATCTCATTTAACTGTCTCAATTCCCCCCAAAATAGATACTATTATTATCTATAATTCATAAATAAGGAAACTGTGCCTCAGAAAGTTAAAAGGCCTAAAGTCACCAGTTGGCTAACATTTAAAACCAAAGCCCAGCCAGGACGTGGTGGCACACGCCTGTAATACCTGTAATCCCAGCACTCAAGAGGTTGACACCGGAGGATCACTGCGAGTTCGAGACCAGCCTGGGCTATAAATTGAGCTCAAGGCTAGCCTGAACTGCATAGCAAGACCCTGTCTCAAAAAAAAAAAAAAAAAAAAGCCCACTCTCTTAACCATTTTTTGGTGCTAATCAGCTATACCGAAGTCTGGAGCCAAATGACTGCATGTTCGAGGTCAGCCTGGATAACTTCGCAAGATCTTGTCTCAAATAGAAGAAAAAAACGCGCAGTAGCAAAAATATGCATTTTTCTCAACCTTGTGGGCATTGCCTACATTTGGCTATAAAATCGAAAACGCTGAAATAGAAAGCAATGATTGCTTACCATTTCTCTACGTCGTAAGAGCAGCAAATGCTTCAAAACCGCGCGGATAAAAGCCGCTGGTGACACCCCCGCCCTGAAGGCGCGGCGCGCACGGCGCTCGCCCCGCTCGGGGCGGAGAGCGCTCCGGTGAAGACGCCCTTACCTCCGTCACAGGCGGCGGCGGCTGCAGATCGGCCAGAGGCAACGCGGGCAGAGAGAAGGCCAACTCCGCGGACCTGGAACACCCACACAGACCCGTCATGTTGACAACCCTCAGAGGCCAAGCATCCAAGCCTGGGCGCTCCCAGCCCCTACATCTCACCATTTGCTACTGTGCAGCAGGCCCCGCTCCCGAGTAAGGCCAGCAATAAGCAGCAACTGCTTTTTAATTTCCCGCAAATCTGAGAAGTCTGCGTTCACGGACAGGCCGGGCATCGCCGCAGCCGTCACGGCCACAGGGACTAGAGAGGTACTCGCCGCCATTTTCCTGACGCTTTACTGCGGCCAATCATCAGCGGTAATACTTGTTGCCCCACTGCATCAAAAGAGCCTATCTGCCATTGGTCATCGCTTACCCTAAAAGAGCCAATCACAGATCGTTATTGCAACGTGACGAAGAGGCGGGAAAAAGAGAATTATATTCCGGACTGGACTAGAGTCTTAGATCTAGGCGGGAAAATTAGAACAAGAAGTCGGGGAAAGGTGGGCTCAGAGCGGGGCAAAAAGGAATAATAAACTTAGATATCTAGGGGTAGAGACATGGGGAAAAAAAAGGATGGAAGAGTGCCGAATTTAAGGCCTGTAATACCAGCATCCTGGGAGGCGCAGGCAAGAGGAATGCAGGCTGGAGCCCGGCCTGGGTAATTAAGCGATCTAATGAGACATTGTCTCAAAATTAAAAAAAAAAAAAAAATACATAAACGGGACATGCTGGCCCATGCCTGTAATCCCAGCATTTGGTAGACTGAGGCAGGTGGATCGTTAGGAATTCAAGACCAGCCTGAGCCAGGGAGATAGCTCAGTGGGTTAAGCACCTGCCTCGCCATTGCAAGGACCTGAGTTTGATCCCTGGTACTACAAAAAAACAAAGCAAGACTAGCCTGAGGGCCCGGGAGATGGCTCAGTGGAATAAGCGCTTCCCTGACAAGCGCAAGGGCCTGAGTTCAAACCCTGGTTCTGCAAAAAAAAAAAAAAAAAAAAAAAAAAAGCCTGAGCTACAAAGTGAACTAAAGGCCAGCATGAACTACATAGGGAGACCTTCATTCAATCAATCAATAAACAAATACGTTAAAAGGACTAGGGATTTAACTCAATGCAAAAATCCCTTTTTAAACCCTAGTACCACAAATAAAGTTTTTTACAAGATGGAGAAGAGAGAGACCCATGCATTTTAGAGGTGATGTGATTGAATAGATGTACTTGCTTTGCAGATTCCATGTCAGATGATGACAGCGATGTATATGTGTGCAATGTATGCAGGATGCATAGTCTTTGACTTTTCCTTGAAGTGCCTACTGTAAAAGGGTGTATTGTCCCAAATGACAACTCTCCTCTTTCCTGTACTTCTACAAGTCTAATCTGATTTGAGTCTTAAACACACACACACACACCCCTTTTCCTTGAACCCAGGGTCTTGCACCTGTTAGGTAAGCACTGTAACACTGAACTGTATCTTCAACCTCTCCACACAAACACCTTTTAAATCCTTTTGATTTTGGAGCAGGATATCCATAAATTGCCCAGGTTGCTTTGGAACCATGATCCTTCTACCACAGCCTCCTGAGTAGCACAGGTGCACAGCATCACACCCACCTCTACCATCCTAATTTTATGCACCAGAAAACAGAACTTGAAGGAAATTCAGTAGAATAAGCACTTGCCTGGCAAACTCAAGGTCCTGAGTTCAATCCCTGCTACTGCCAAACAAACAAAGAAAGAAAATTGAGGAAGATTCATTCTTAATCTAAACCAGACTCCAGCTGAGCCAGGAGGATCTTCAAGGAACATTTTCCCTGCTGGCATGATTAGGCTGTGGGCTGTGGGGGCCGGAATACAGTGCACCTCGCTATAGACATGCGACTTTAGGGTATCACTGTGTTCTGTGCAGTAGTTTTGGGTCTGAGACCAAACAAATGATTATAAATGTGGTATATTTGAGACTTTCTTTTTTTCTTTCTTTCTTTTTTTTTTTTTTTTTTCGGAACCAGGGATTGAACTCAGGCCCTTGAGCTTGCCAGGGAAGCGTTTATTCCACTGAGCCATCTCCCCGGCTCTGAGGCTCTCTTTTTTTTTTTTTTTTTTTGCTTTCTTTTTTTGATGGTTTTTTTTTTTTCTGAAAAAAAATTAGAAACTATACAAAATTTCATTAAACAGTTTTCCACCCCTCCTCCTTGTCCCGCAGCTCCCCTAATATCTAACTGCCTGCCTAACAGATTACAACTGTTATGCTGGATACCTTGTGTCAACTTGAGAAATTTAAAAGGTTAACTAACTCAGCAGGGGGCTAGGGTCTTCATTTCCTAAATATCCTTATCCAGTGCAAGAGAAAGGGGCCAGTCAGATAGCTCAGCAGACTATAATGCCTGCTTAGATGGAGTGCAGCAGGGGTTCAATTCCGGGGTGTGCCGTGCCAGCCCCCTCCCCCCAGTGCTTGGGAGGCTGAAAACAGAATCACTACAAGTCCGATCTACTTAGTGAGACCCTGTAGACCCTGTAGACCCTATAGGCCTTGTACTACAATACATTTAAAAAGCCAGCCAGCCAGCCAGCCAGCCAGCCAGCCAGCCAGCCAGCCGGGGAGACGGCTCAGTAGAATAAGTGCTTCCCTGGCAAGCGCAAGGGTCTGAGTTCGATCTCTGGTTCTGCCAAAAATAGCTCAGCGGATTAAAGCGCCTGCAAGCAGGCTCCGGGGCACGCTGAGACGCCAATTGAGACTGGGCATGGTGGCATGGGCCTGTAATCCCAGCTCTTGGGAGGCTGTAAACAGGCGGTAGTGAGACCCTGAATACCCTGTAGACCTTTCCCTAAAATACAAAAAAAAGAAGAAGAATTAAGAAGGAAGAGAGAAAAAGAGAGAGAGAGAGAGAGAGAGAGAGAGAGAGAGAGAGAGAGAGAGACTGAGCTGCTGTAAGTGCTGCATCCACTCTGGAGGGTGGGATAGCTTACAATATAAGGGAGGAAAATAGGCTTGCTCTTCTCCCTTTTTGCTCTTATTGCTTTGCTGATGACAGACTAAAACCTTCACAGTGAGCTAAATAAACCTTTCTTTCCTTAATTTTGGGCGTCAAGTATTTCAACCCAGCGACAGAAAAGTAACCAACACGTTAACCCACATTAGCACAGTATTCTTAGATTTTACACGAAGAGGGCTGGAGTACTTGGTAAAACCCTTGCCATGCATATGTGAGGCCCTGGGTTTGATCTGAAGGAAGGGAGGGATAAATGGGGCAGGGGGGCACACACTTCTAATCCCAGTTTCTGGAAGGCCAAGGCAGGAGGATCACAGCCTGGGTAATTAGGCAACTTTAAAGACTTATTTATTTAAAAAACTACAAAAGGAGTGCCGGGGAGATGGCTCAGTAGAATGAGTGCTTCCCTGGCAAGTGCAAGGGCCTGTGTTCAATCCCCGGTTCCACAAAAAAAAAAAAAAAAAAAAACACTGCAAAAGGGTTGGGGCTGGGTGTAGAGGCCATGCTGGACTATCTAGTAAAACTCCGTCATGAAAAATCGCCCTAATAAATACATAAATGGCTGGGGATGTAGTTCAGTGGCAAGAGTCAGGCCCTGAGCTCATGGCACTACTGTCTCAGCCTCCCTGTGAGTGCTGGGATTACAGGCATGGGCCACCATGCCCACTTATGTAATCAATTCTGGTCATTCGATTCCCAGAACCAAAAAAATTCCAACCATTGGTGCCATCACCCCATATATCAGTGAGAAAGCTTAGTGACTTCCATAAAGACACTCTGCTGCACTATAATGGAACCACAAGATGAACCCAGGTCTCTCTGATTCCAAAGTTCACACTTATTTCCATTAGACCACAGAGTTCTATCAGAGAAGAAAATATTTAAAATATAATAGTTGCATAAACAGCTCCCACTTATTAAGTACTAAATATAAGCCAAGCTCTCTAAGGTTTACAGAAAACATCTCGTTTAACCCTACCCAGTTGGCATCTCATTAACTCGCACAAACTAGTACAGTATTCCTATTTTACAGGTAAGAATACTGAGATACATAAGAATTAAATAATTTTTTTTAATTTTATTTGTGTGTGTGTGTGTGTGTGTGTGTGTGTGTGTGTGTCCAGCTCAGCCCACCAGGGGGCGGGGTTGGCCGGCATGTGGTGCTGGGGGATTGAACCCGCGGTCCCTGTGCTTTGATAAGCTTGTTCTAATTAGGTGCTTTAGACCACCGAGCCATCTCACCAGCCCCTAAATAAATTGTTCATTAAAGAAAGAAGGGCCAGCCAAATAGCTCAGCGGAGTAAAGCGCCTGCTTAGGCAGATGCAGCACTGAGATGGCCATTGGGACTGTGCTTGGGAGGCTGAACACAGAATCACTACAAGTCCGATCTTTGTAGTGAGACCCTGTAGACCCTGACCTGAAATACAAAAAAGGAAAAACAAAAACAAAAAGTTTTCTAGGTTCCATAGCTATAAAATGGCAAAATGGAAAGAGAAAAAAAAAAAAAAGGAATGAGTGGAAAAAAGATGAGCCGGGGAGACAGCTCAGTATGCACTTTCCTGGCAAGCGCAAGGGCCTGAGTCCAATCCCCGGTTCCACCAAAAAAAGAAAAATAAAGAGCCCTTTACATAAAATAAATAAATAAATAAATAAATAAATCAAAGTTTTAAAAAGTCCTTTTGCGGCCATCGCTGGAGTTGCAGCAGCCAAAATGAAGTTTAATCCTTTTGTGACTTCGGACCGAAGCAAAACCATAAAAGGCATTTCAATGCACCTTCCCATATTCTCAGGAAATTTTGCCTTCTCCTCTTTCCAAAGAGCTGTGACAGAAATACAATGTGCGCTCTACGCCCATCCGAAAGGATGCTGAAGTTCAGGTTGTGCGAGAACACTATAAAGGTCAGCAGATGGGCAAAGCAGTCCAGGTTCACAGGAAGAAGTATGTCATCTACGCTGAATGGGTACAACGGGAAAGGCAAATGGCACAACTGTCCACGTGGGCAGGCACCCCAGTGAGGTGGTTATCACCAGGCTAAGACTAGACAAAGACCACACAAAGATCCTGGAACAGAAAGCCAAGTCTCGCCAAGTAGGAAAGGAAAAGGGCAAACACAAGGAAGAAACGGTTGAATAGGGGTCGGGAAGATGGCTCATTAGAATAAGCACTTGCCTGGCAAGCGCAAGGGCATGAGTTCAATCCCTGCTTCCGCCAAAAAAAAAAAAGAAAGAAAAAGAAACAATTGAGAAGATGCAGGAATAAAGTCCTCCTGTGTGCAACTTTTAATTAAAAACTGCTGAAATGAAAAAAAAAAAGGAAAAAAAG